CTTCCGAAAGTTTCTTCATTCTTTTCAGGGTTAAGTGTCGTTTTGTGTTCGATACAGGGATTTAAAATGAAGAATTTACACACTGGAAAATATTTCCATCATTGCAGTATGAAAAAAAATGCATAAAATAGGTATGTCACATACCCTGCTTCATTGAAAGCAAATGTCAAACGTTTTACAAACAAAGCGTGTGGGCAGCATCGTATTTCTAATTAATTATCATACCAGTCCAGGAAAAGCAAGGAAAACGAACACATCACAAGGAAGAACAGGATCCAAACTCTAAATCCAGCATTGTTTTTGATGGCCTGTGAGGAAAAGGTTATCTCCATTACCATCACCAGAAAACAAGCAGTAGAATTTCAACAACAGCACCCCAGGGTGACTGGTAGTGGCTTGCCTCTTGCCTCCCCCAAGAGAAAAAACAAAACTAACAACATTAGGAACTAAATCACAACATACAGGTTTCAGTTCCAAAGGTGAAATTCTGTGATGAGGAATAATCAGGCCTTTATCCTTCTAATAAACATCTTCTGACTAAAAATAAACAAAATCCCCAAACGGACAATTATTCCTGCAGCTTGATTTAGCACTGGCAGTCACATATTTCAGTCTCAGAGCAAGGAGCCAGTATTTTTCTTGGATCTTCCTTCCTAGAATTGAGACCAGCATGTAGCAGGGGCCCTGGTTTTTTTCTTTTTCAAATTTACATGTGGAATAAATTTTTTTTTTATGTGATACAAGCATTAACATGAATGATGAAGTTTTATATTTAACCCTTTACTATTTCCCATTGCGGCTTAAGAAACTCTGTCCTACCTACAAATATAAAAAAAAAACAAAGCAAAAATAACTTCATTTCTTGTTTTGATGCACTTTTCAGGAGAGCTGAGCAGCAGGTAACTCATCCTTGAGTTACATGTTCCATGTGCTTTCAGGAGAGGGATTAAAAAAAATTTAAAAATCCCAAACCTGAGCTATTTACATAGTTCCTAATTTAGGAACCCTGTTTTTATTGAAATCTCATTTCCTAAAAGAAAACATAATTTCATTCTAATTAGTATGACAATGGGATAGATTTGTTTACTAGGAGCACAGGAGATGCATTCAGCATGGTGACGAGATTCTTCTGCTATTGCTCAGCATTTAACCGCAGTTTTAATGATTTCAGCACTCTTCTACTCATGGTCTGCAATTTCTCTTCCCCCTTTTCTTTTTAAACAACCTTCCAGGTGCTTAAATGTGTACCCAGTAACCTTCACGTTTATAAAACAGGCGAGGCCGAGCAGATTTCCGCAGGCTGGGGTAGCTGTTCGGCTCCCGGTCAGTGAGACCAGCAACACCAGCTGTTGCGAACCTCAGCTCACTGGTACAGTTTTCTCAAAATCATGTCCTGACACATGCACCTGTGCTGTGGGGGAGCTCGCACGTGCTGTTTAAAGCAACTGAAAGCCCAGAGAAACAAGTGAGTTTAAAACACAAATTAGAGCTGTTACCTCTCTTATGTCTTCGTTGCCCTCTTTGATATTCTCTGTTGCACCGACAACTAATTGATGGATATTGTCAATATCAGTTTCCTGTTAAAAATAAAATAATATTGAGAAACAGTGGTGAACGTCAGGAGTAAAACCATTTCCAAGGACTCAGGTAACAAGCAGAACTCAAAACAACAGCTGGTATTATTAACATTTTAGTTTCAGTGATGCAGAGGTACAGAGGCAAGTAAGTTGTCATTTCTTTACCTGTGATTTTATGAACCTGAATGGAGAGCACCAAGATCAATGGGAAATCTCCTGTTTATCTAGAATCAAATCTAACCTGTCCAATTTTTGCCACATCTTTTGGAAGAGGTGCCACCTTTTCCAGAAAAGATGCTATTAAATAACACCTTTAATGGGACACTAATTCTGAGGCAGAGGGGTCATTGTAACACACGTTGCGTTTTCCATCCCCAGTACATACTGATAAGAAACAACAGTAAGTATCTTTGGTTTGCATTTGACAAACAAACAAAAATGCTTTCCTTCACATTTGTATCAAAGATTTATTAATCTTAGGTTTACATCTTGTGTGCAACCGAGACCAATACCCCCAAGAGCATCTTTAAGCTGTAGTACTGAATTACACCAACCTGCTGCAAGACTTTTTCAGTGAATATCTCTTGCAATCTGGAGATTTCCACCACTTTTCCTTCAATTTGCCTTGGCAAAGAACAGAAACGCTCCATTAGAAACTAGTGCAAACATCTTTTTCCTGCAGATTTGGGTTCTCCAACCCGGTACGGGGGCTACTGGAAAGGCAGGGCTGTTGGGTGAGCGGTGAGTGCCCTCACAGCTCATGGCTGGATGACTGGCCCACACCAAAGTTCTGGGAAAGGCAGCACCCGCAATTCACAGACACCGGCCTTCGCCACACGAGCTTAACACGTCTTCCTTCTAATTTAACAAAATCCGTGGTGGATCCTAAATAGTTTCATAGAATCACAGAATGTTCAGGGTCGGAAGGGACTTCTAGAGATCATCCAGTCCAACCCCCCTGCCAGAGCAGGATCCCCTAGGGCAGTCACACAGGAACGCGTCCAGGTGGGTTTTGAATGTCTCCAGAGCAGGAGACTCCACAACCTCTCTGGGGCAGCCTGTGCCAGGGCTCTGTCACCATCACAGTAAAGAAGTTTCTCCTCATGTTGAGGTGGAACTTCCTATGTTCTAATTTAAACCCGTTATTTCTTTTTCTGTTGCTGGGCACCACGGAGAAGAGATTGTCTCCTTCCCCTTGACACCCACCCCTCAGGTATTTGTATACGCTAATAAGATCCGTTAAGATCTGTTAATAAGATCTGTTTATATACGTTAATAAGATATGTTAATAATTTTGATGTATCCTTTTTGATATGCTATCAAGTGTGGAATTCACCTTGCCTGCTATAATCATGCAACAGGAAAGCTCCAGCCTGAGCTGAGCCGTTCAGTTTTCCTGCGCAGCAAGCAGAGAGCAAGCGGCAGCCCCGCTCTGCTGTACCAGCAGGTCTCTGTGTGGGGCTCTGTGACCGCAGCCCTTGCTGCTGCCCGTCTGCAGCGCACAGCATGGCACCAGTGGGAAACTTGATCCTTTAGAACTTAAATAAGCGAGGCAGAATGTAAACCGTCCAAATTTTAACCAAAACAGTCCAGAACTGTACATTGTCTCTCGGAACCGTTCTTCATGCTGTGGGACAGCACACGGTGTGAACTGTCGCAGCTCATTTCCTGGGTGCTCCCATTTTGTCCCTGCTCCTGCCACACCGCTGCAGCTCCAGCAGCCAGGGGTCCTGCAGGCAGGTCAGCACACGTGGGGTGGGCGCTGCATGAGTTATGGGGCCGGCGCGTGTGACCGTCTGTCGGAGGACAGGAAAAACCGTACCTGACTTCATCAAAGAGGTTATTCATTTCACCAACAAGCCTCTGGTTCTCCTGCTCAAACTGGAAGAAGGAAATCGCACACGTGAGTTCACATGCTCAGACTTGGGGAACTTTCTTCAAACCAACCCCTGAT